ACCCCGCGCGGCAGCCCTTCCGAGTCCCCGCCGCGGGGCGCGCCTCGGCCTTCTCTGCGGCGATGACTCCCGTCTGCAGGTGGTGAGTGGGGTCAGCCCCATTGGGCTGTTGTCAGATGCCGCGTTTTGTTTATGTAATTTTTGCAGAAAGAAAAGAGGGACAATTCTGAGCCATTTCTGGCAGTCATACAGTTTCCACAGGAAATACTAGAGTTCTTTGAGGAACACGCTACTGCTTGCAGGGAGGAAAGTCGTCAGGAAACAAAAAGGCAACAGCGGTGTTGCTCATTTTCAATGGACCACTAGGAAGGTGGAAACTCGCTGTTTTTTCCTGCGGGGACACCGCTTTCCGTGGGAAAGTTAATGAAGGAGGCGTTGCTGTGTCACCCCTTCTTCGCTGGCGGGGGCTGGGCGCACTCCTCTGGGTCTTCCTGACAAGTGCCCATGGAGGAGCCCCTCTGGACAGTCTCCTGAGCACCATGGCCTGCGGAGGCCGGCCAGGGTGCGGTGTCCAAGATGAAGTAAAAGCCGCCTGGGAGGGTTACGGTGACTACGTGTGTGCCGAGTATGTGGGTTCTCCAGGGTGTCGCTCTAAACGTGTAATTTTCAAGTCCCACCTTCCTTGCTGAATCTGCAGCAGGCAATAACCTCAGTCTTTTTATTATTAATTATTATTATTAAGCAGACATTTCAGTTGGTTGAAATCTGCATTTCATTTGTACATACTGCAAATTTTAAAAGCGAAGAGGACAAGGTAGGAAAGCAATATGTTGATGTGTGCGTACCTGGGAGAGAGCGTCTACTGATTATTTCTGATGCATCTCAGGATTAAGTTAGAGTGCAGGAGACACCTTTATAGTGTCCTTAAAACTATTAAGAAAAGGTGTGATATTTTGTTACAGACTACAGAAATCTCTCTGGAAGGGAGAATTAGCCAATGATTATCATAATCAAATATGTATGAGTTCCAAGGTCTAGAATCAGAAAGAAAAAGATAAGACGATGCCTCTCTTAAAGAGCTTTGAACATCTCAGAAATAAAATGTACAATTTTGAAAGAAGATACAGTTTTGAACGTAATCTTCATTGGCTCTGTAGCAAACATTTCTTGAAGTTTATAAAACAGTAGGTTTGAAATGACGATGACTTTAATTTAACATCTACTGTTGATTGCAGTCTGAAAGCAAGTGACTAAAGCAAGTGAAATTCTCGGTCTGTTTTGCCACAGCTTTGCTAATTCCAAGCAGTCGTTCGGATGCAGTGTATAGTGGAAATGCAGAATAGAGGCCAAGAAACTTAGTGTGTGTGCTGTTTATTTGGAAGGAATTGTAGCCATATTTTACTGCTCTTAAGAAAAGGGAAACCCTCATCATACTATGAGAGAAACCCTAGAGCCATTTTTCTTGCCACATTTAAGGCATTTCTTGTCAAAAGAGAAAATCTCCCAAGGAGCAGGTGCATCATTATTAAAAGCACTAGGGAGTGTCTCTTTTAAATGCAGAATAATTTGAAAAGCAGCAAGAGAATCGGTGACATTCTTAGAATAAAAGCCTCGTATTTGGCAATCTTTCAGGTTACAGTTGCAAACCACATAGGACAAATACGTGTTATGGGAAGAAAATAATATCCCAGTGAAAATCACACAGCTGCTTCTGTGAAGCATTTACTCCTGTATACTTGTTTCCTTTGCCCCTTTGGCACACAGATTAACCTGCAAGATGAGATTTGCTGAAGGTGAACTTGTAGATTGTTTGCTTAAATATATATTGTGTATTATTTTGCAGCTAGATAACTAGATTTTTTATTTTGTGATTTGTATCTGAGCTCCCTTTTTAATCCTTTAAAATTAATGATCTAAAAATGTGTTGAAATAGTAATTTTTCTTAGTTGATATGGCTGATAGTTGGAACCTGGAAAAGTATTAGTCAACTCCTAAAGAGTTATTGTTGTATTCACTTTGTACACTTTTGGAATATTAAAATATAAAATGCACTATCTCCATGCAAGGAACTTAAAGGGAGGGAAATAGGACATATAAAAAATTAATGCTACGAAACATAAAAGAAGATATTTTATAATCGAGGACCCAAGACACTAAATGGTAATGGAAAAGAAGTTTGGAGGAGAAAGTTACCATATAAGCTTAAATGTTTTATCAGTTATGCATTGAACAATTTTCAAATTGCCTAAAAATTTAGTTTCGTTAAAAAACTATCATGACTGATGATTCTTTGGGACATTTTGGTGGGTCCAGCAAGGCAGTTCCTCCTCTGGCACAGTGACCGGCACAGGTATCTCCTCTTCTCTAGAAAACTGGACGGGGATTTTTACATGGCAGCCAGCAGTGTCCAGAGAGAAGCAAAAGAGCAGCTGTTGTTGTAAGAGCAACTGTTAAGCCTCTTAGCTCTTCTCTCATAGGCAACACCAAATCCTATGGTCACCCCAGATTCGTGGAGTATAGGAAGACTACTTAAGATGAAAGGGAACGCAAAAACCGATTCTTTTTAAAAAGTTGTTGTTGTTTGTTTGTTTTTGTGTAATTATATTTTTGTGTAAATTTGATTTATTCTGCTGGGGAATAGTGTAAATGAGACAGAGGTAGAGCTTGCTTGTGGAGAGTCTGGAATTCAGGTAGAGGGATGGCCTGGTAAATTGCCCTGTGATCTTTATTTTGTAAACCACATGTAGAAGGGGAGTGGCGTCATGCTGGTAGCATGTCAGCAGTATCCTTTGGCCAGTGGCATTAGGACAGAGACCGTAGGTCTGTGGCACAGTCTGCAGGACATTATTGGGAGAGGTGGAAGGCTCAAACGAAGGCAGAAGCAGGGAAGATGGGAAGCAAGGGATCTATCTGGGAGAGCTCATATTTAGGGTTAGGTGACTGACTGCAGGGGCTGGTGAAGGCTGGGAGTCAAAGCCATTCTGTGATTGTAAAAAGCTAAAGTGTCTGAAAGGATGATTGCGCTGTTCTGAGAAAGAGAGAAGTCAATAAGTGATTTATCTGGGGGGAGGAGGGAAATCCAGTTCCAGAAAGATTGATTAAAAGAGGTAAATTGAAGGTGAACGTACTTTATAAGCTGCAGGGTATTCGATGACTGTTAGCTATTGTTCGGTGTTTAAATTGCAGAAGACTGTTGTGTTCAGTTAGGTTTCCTTCATTATAAAGCAACAGAATATAAAATGAGAGATTGGGGACACTTACATGTCAAAGGGAAGTCAGCAAAACCACTCTTGGGATGAACGGTGTTCTGGAGGGTGGGAAGAAAACCTGGTCTTTCTCTGAAGCACACCTGGAGGTCTGCCTTGGGGTACTGTGCATTACTAGGCCAGAAGCATGGATTGGTAGCTCTGCCACAGGGCATACAGTGGGGAGGGGGAGTGCTTCCTCAAAGCTGGTGCACAGCTGTCTCAAGGATGCTGGAGCACTGCTGTCCGAAGGAGGACACTAGAGCTGTGCATGTTAACTCATGGCTGTCATCCCAGCCCTCTGGAAGGCTGAGGCAGGCGGGTAATAAGTTTGAGCACAGCCTGGGAAGATTAGAGAGGCATTGTCTTAAAATAAAATGTAAAAATGCTTGGGGATGCAGCTGAGTGTGAAAGCCCTGGGCTTAGTCCTCAGTAACACAGGCACACTCAGACACTGGGGCACTGCTACTTGCTATCAGAAGTGGGATAGACACAGGGTGGCAAAACTAAAAAAGTACCACAGACAGACACTTGAAATTTGTTGGGCCTGGCCACGTGGAAATAGGGCGGAAGGCAACAACATTGAGATGTAGGCTCTTTAATAACAGTTAAATGCCTGTGTGTAGTAGAATTTTTCTCTTGGAAAACAAAGCAAAGCAGAGCCAGCCTGGTGTAATTCCTGATCCAGTCCCCTCTATGAATGTCGGTGGACATTTTACTGCAGGGGAAAGAATTCCAAATGCATTCTGTTCTGTCTGTTACCTAAGGGCCCCTTTGAGTTGCTACTCCATCCGCCTCATTTTACAGACAGCCAGGCTGGAACTCAGGTGGTGTCCTTACCGCCAAGGGCAGCTGTTGGCCAGACAGAAACACCTGGCCTCTGACTCTTCACAGTTATTCTGAACAGCGTACACAGCTGCTCTTTATAGAAGGGCCTCAGACGGACCAGTTCAAACCCAAGCACACACGTGTATAGATTTTATTGCACAGGCTCAAGAACCCTGAAGATACTCAATAAATGTTAATTGAATGAATGAATGTGCCATTATCTGGTGCAGTAACATTTTCTCAAACAGTCTGGCCTGGCTTTTTATTATCGAGGGCTGAGTTTGCTATAAAATCCCTTAGTGACTTTTGTAGATTTAAATTTTTAAGGCATTTGTCGCAGTAATGTACATTTTTAAAATCTACCATTTATTTTTTAAAAACTTATTTTTAGTTTTTGAAACACAGCTGTCCTGATTCCTTCCCTTTTCAGGATTCTTAGTTGCCAGCGACAGAAATCCAGTTTGTAGGAAGGGGCAAATACAGGTTGCTATAAAGGAAAAGTCCAGGGAGGAGCCAGGACTGATTCCTTCATGGTGGCAAGTGAATATCAGCAGTTCAGGCTTAACCCCTGGAGGAAAAGGAGAAAACTTAGGATTCTGCACAAGCCTGATCCAATTCCTATGACCAAAATTTGGACCATGCCCCTTAGCTCATGGTTGATCACATGCCCAGTCCTGTGGTCTTCTGGAAAGGGTCGGTGGGGTGCACGAGGAGCATGGCCCTGCCTTCCCAGGGTGCTCTGGGCTAGATACAGTCAGATTGTGTAACTGTCTGGTAAGAATCATTTGAAACGTTGTCATGATCCTGGGGGAAAATCTAAGCTGATGACCCAAGGTCTCTTGATGTGGGCTCTGCCTTTTTCTAAGAATACAGGAGGTGGGTAGGGAGGGTATGTTCTTCAAAGGCTACCTCTGGCTGCCCATGTCACCGCTATGTTGGCTGACTTGACAACTTTAAAGTACCAGTAGCTCTGTTTTCTCCCATTTGCATGCCTTTGCACGGGCTACTATGTCAGTGAGAGAATTTATTTTTTTCTTGACCCACTGAGTATCTTTTATCCTTCAGACTC